ACTCAGCGTTCGCGCGATGTTGCCTTTTTCGTTTGCGTTCGCAGCACAGTTCTCAGGCAATTTAAATGCCCAGAATCGACACCTCGGCTGGATATATGCAACATTAAATGCCCAGAATCGACACCTCGGCTGGATATATGCAACGTTTAAATGCCCAGAATCGACACCTCGGCTGGATATATACAACGTTTGAAACCCGAGCCGACACCGCAACCGGTTTTCATTTCCAATCGTCCTTTGCTTTTCGCCAACTTTATCATCAATTTTAGCAAGTAATTATAATTCAAACTATATCGTGTTTGGTACCACTTTAATCACAAAAATCTCACCAATGCGCTAGTACAAGTTTCATTAAAAAAAAGTCAAAAATAAAAAAGTTTTTTGATTCAAGTAGTATTAGTCACACCGATACGTTTCGGCTCTTTCCTTTGATCATCGGACCTCTCTCTTTCCGCCACTGTCTGTCCTTTTCTACGTTCACGCTTGGCTGCTCGTCGCGTGTAACCCGAGATTCGACACCTCGACTGGATATATGCAACGTCTGGGTCCCAATGTTTGTTGCATATATCCAGCTTTTACTGTATATGTTTTCTGTTACATCTCCTTTGTCTAAAATATATATACATCTATCTACAGAGGAATTTTGAAAACCTTTACTTTTAAGTGTTTGATCAAAAATTTCAAACCAGCATCTTGCTGCCTGATTCAATCTATATATGGCTTTGTTTAATTTACCGACTTGATTGTCTCTACTTTCAATCCCCTCGGGAACTTTCATATATATTTCCTCTTTTAATATACCATTCAGAAAAGCAGTTTTCACGTCCATATGATGAACTAATAAATTAAATTGATTTGAAAATGCCATTATGAACCTGAAACTTGATATTCTGGCAACTGGTGCAAATGTTTTGTCATAATCTATTAAATAGTTTTGACTGAAACCTCTAGCAACAAGGCGGGCTTTATACTTTAATGGGTTTCCAAACTCGTCATTTTTAATAGCAAATACCCATTTAAAGTCTACAATATTTTTATTTTCAGGTCTTGGCACTAGAGTCCAAGTATTATTAATTAACAGAGAATTAATTTCATCTTTGACTGCTTGTTCCCACTGAACTCTATCGTTTCTATTCTCAATTTTCTGATACGAGGCAGGAATTTTGTAAATAAGAGATTGATCACACATGATGTAATCATTCCGCTCATCAATCTCATTATACGAAATAGGTGGACGATGCTTGATCCTATCACTCATTCTTAATTCGGGGGATATTTGTCTTTTATTCTGATTATTATTTGATGAAGTGCCTTGTACATCTGTTTCGATTATAGACTCATTGTGTCTATGACTAAGTTTGGTATTTTTATTTATCTCGATTAATTTAGATGCTGATATATCTGATTTATTACTATCAGATTTATGAGATTCTATTGATTTTGACTGCATGTCAGGTAAATCAATTTCAGACTGTACTTCTACAGACCTGGATACCAAATCGGTTTTATCACGGGAGTTTTCAGAATTAATCCCTTCAGGCTGTACTATTACGGGCCTGGATACCAAGAAAATAGTCTCATCTACAATTACATCTCTAACTATAACAAATTTACCTCCTTCCACATTCCATACTTTATACCCATTCGATTCATATCCAACTAGAATGCCCTTCAAAGATTTTTCTTCGAATTTTGATTGTCTAGTTTTATTATGTACGTATACTGTTGAACCGAAAATTTTTAAATATTCTAATTTAGGTTTTCTATTGTGCCACAATTCATATGGTGTTTGTGATTTTCTTAAGGCCTTAGTTGGGGTTAAATTAGTAAAAACGTGGCAGTAAGGACAGCTTCAGCCCAAAATACCTTTTCTAAACCAGCTATCATCGCACAAACTTTTTCAGTTATCGTCCTTACGATGCGTTCAGACACACCATTTAATTGTGGAGTTCGTGGAACGGTCAAGTGGTAACTAATACCTTTTTCGACACAATATTCTTTCATCTCATTTGACAAATACTCTCTCTCGTTATCACAGTACACATTTACGATTTTCAAATTGAAATGGGCTTCACTCTTTGCCACATAATTTCTAAAAACCGAAAATACATTTGATTTATGTGTAATCAAATATGTGCAACAATAATGTGTGGAGGAATTTGGATAATCGGGGGCGTCTAGGAGGCGATTAAAATTCGGATACACGTTTCCAATAATCATTCGCTCTTTATTATAATTAGTCTTTCAAGCACGCGTACATGTACTGTGTCCGCTGCCGTTGAGCCACAATATTTACGTATATTCCCCTTCGACAAACGGGGCAAAGGGGGGAAAGAGTCGCCGTAATCCGCACAGGTAGTAAGGGTCCACCTCAAAATCCCGACAGGCCACCGTGGTAATTACGTCTTCCGAATTTTGGGATAATACCACGACAATTCCAGATGTAAACAAAAAACAGAACATCCCACTCGAGTTGAACAGTAACATATTAAATTCGTCTTGGTGACTGGGGGGCTCTGCCCCCCAGACCCCCCAATATGTTGCACTAATTAATACCAATACCCATTTTTAATATGAGGTAATAATAAACACAATTTACAAAGTAACATATTCATTGGTATTAGTTAGTGTAGTTATTAAGGAGGGTCTGGGGGGTACAGCAAAACGAATTTAATATGTTACTGTTCAACCGAATATTTTCTATTTCGTCGAGTTTTCACCGTGTACAGTGAACGCGTACATAAAATCTTAAAAAAAATATTTATTGACATTGTTTTTGTTGATGCGCTGCCATAATAATATTAAATACTAGCTGTGTTACCCGGCGCTACCCGGGTGGTATTTTGTCAGAGTGTATGAGAAAAAAAGATGAATGCTGAATGCGGGAAGCAGCACCGACAGCGTCGCCATTCATCCCCACCGCTGAGGTATGAAGGTATTCCCACTACTATGTCAACACTGCAGCGCTGGGAATTAGCAGTTCTGCTGAACTGTTCTGCGCTACGATTTACACAAACGAAATAAACAATATTTTATACATTTTCCGATGCAACAGCGTAATAAAACTGAGTTTATGTCCTTCGCAAGGTTATAAGGAACACGTCTAAAAAAATCGGATCAAAATCGAAGCAGTAGATTTGGAGATTACCCTGCACAAATAAAATGCTTACAGCTTTATACATTAGTATAGATGATGTTTTTTAACTGTAAGAAACCACACAAAAAAAATCAGCTCGATTCTGACAGGAGTTACACTTCCGAATATTTACCATAAATCCACAAAACTAACCTAACCTAACCTAACCTTACAAAAAGTTATACAGAACGAGCCTAACCTAATCTTCCCGCAGACGACACGCACGTGTTGGTCGGGGGTGGAAGAGAACTAGCCGCCTCTCCGAGATTGGCGTGGCTGCCGTTGCCGCGGGGATCCGGCGGCTGAGGCTTCAGCTAGCTCCCCACAAAACCGAGGCGATGTGGTTTTACTCGCCTCGGCGTGGGGCTGCGCCACCGCCCCAGTCGGTGGTCCGTGTGAGTGGAGTCGACGTCCAGGTGGGGAAAGGCCACAGGTACTTGGGCCTCCACCTGGACAGCCACTGGCGCTTCGAGGAGCACTTCGGTAGTCTGGCCCCCCGACTAGACAGGGCAAGCAACGCGCTTGCCCGTTTGTTACCCAGTATCGGGGGGCCCAACGAGAAGATTCGCCGTCTCTACGTGGGGATCGTGCGGAGCATGGCCCTTTATGGTGCGCCCATATGGGCGAACGCCCTGATGGATTCCCGGTGCAGCCAGCAACTGCTGCGCCGGGCTGAGAGGAGGATAGCCATCAGGGTGATCAGAGGTTACCGCACGGTTCGCTATGACGCGGCGATGACCCTGGCGGGAGTTGTCCCCTTCAAGTTCCAGGCGAAGGGTGACGCCAAAGTCTTCTGGCGTCTGCGTGCTCTTCGTCTGGACGGGACCCCGCCAGAAGAGATGACCGAAGCTGTCGCTAGGATTAGGCGCCAGGCCCGACAGAGAGCCCTGGGACGGTGGCGACGCGAGCTCGTCCTGCCAGTGCTCAAGAAATGGTGGGACCGCGGCCACGGGGGGCTCACATTTAGGACCATACAGGTGCTCACCGGATCCAGAAGGAGGAAACGGCAGCGTGCCATCACTGCGGGGCGGGCCGAGACACCGCGCAACATACCCTGGAGCACTGTCCAGCGTTTGCGCGGGCCCGTCACGCCCTGCGGTTGGGGGTGATCTCTCGCCGGCGGCACTTGTCAAAGAGATGCTAACCGGCGAGAATCAGTGGAGGGCGGTGACCGATTACTGCGAGTCGGTCATCGCCCTGAAGGAGAAGGCGGAGCGGGGTCGGAAGAGAGCCGACCCCGCCCGCAGAAGTAGGAGGGGGCGTCGTCGGGGGCGAACCCCAGACGGCGTCGCCTGAGGGAGGTAGGGCGGTAGGCCGTGAAGATATTACATGCCAGGCCCACCGCCCCTAACGGGGAAAAGAGGATGGCGGGAGCACCCGCCCCCCCTGAAGAGGATTTTAGGGGGGGGGACCCGTCTTCCCCCTGGAAGAGGAGAACCGGGGAGGGGCGGGCGCCCCTCCTCCAATACCGATCGCGCGGCCCCGCGAGTCTTATGCGGGGCCGCTCCTTATTGCACGCGGCCCGAGGAGTGCCGTCATCGGGTGTGGCCCCCGATGGAGTTTGGCACGTAGGGGGAGGGCCAAAACTAGACCCTCCCCCGAGCAAGGGGCGCCAACGCGCCATGGGTAGGGGGGTCCCGGTGTGTTCGCAAGAGGTCCCGGGGCCCCCTCTAACGCCCAGTGCAGGTCACCGTGGGGGTTTTAGCCGGTAAGAATCCGGCACTACCCTCGGCCCGTCCCCAGGGGGGCTGGGGGCGTCTTTCGAAGATTTCCCCCACGTAAAAAATGAAAAAAAAAAAACACCCCTAATCTTCCAAAAAGTTACACAAAACTAACCTAACCTAATTTAATAATAAATCCCAATAGTAAATCCACAAATCAAACCTAACCTAACTTGACCAAAATACTTCGTACTACACCAGTGTGGCAATAGATACAAAAAACTACTCTAAACTTATGAAAAATACTCAAATCTAACCTAACCGAACATAAACTTATGAAAGTCACTCAAAACCAACCGAATCCGACATAACCTAACTTCTTTGATATACACGGTACTAACCTTACCTAATCAAATGTACACAAAATTAACCTCACGTGTGCAAAGAACCACAAAATCAAACCGACATAACCTAAATACAAAAAACTAACTCAACCACGCCAAACAACAAAACTATCCTAACCTAACCAAGAACACGGAGTTCTGGTGGTCGGGATTTTGGGCTGTCGGAATTTTGGCTGTCGGGATTTTGGGTGTCGGGATCTTGGGTGCCATCGCAGGTAGTAATACGCGGGAAGTTTATCCTACAAATGAGTAAATTCATCCACAAAAAGAACAAAGTAATTGCTAATATTAATTGTCGAAGGAGTGATTGGACCGCAAATATATGAGTGTACAATAAACAATGGTCGTTTAATATAATTTTTATCTTTTGCTCTTCTGAATGGTAATCGTGCTTGTTTCTCATATATACAAGCTTCGCATAATTTATCATTAACTTTAACTTTTTCTATTTGCTTTATATCCTCAACCATTTCTTTATCCTTTAATTCTAGAAATTTAGACTTTTGTTGGGATCCGGGTGAAGAACGATCGCTTTTAAAGTATAAAAGTTTATTCGAATTGTTCTCTATGACACGCCGAACTCAACTAACGCAATTTACATGAATAAGAAATACGCAATGGAACAACACAAATACTTCGCTTGATGGTTGAATCTTTAATTCTGAGGTCTGACCTATTGTCAAGATATATATATATATATATACATATATATATGGCTTCTTCGCTTAGTGGGGAAGGATGACTCTAGCTCTTGATGCGTGAGAACGGAGGCAAGACTATCGCTGATGAGTCGGAATTCACGGAATTGGATGGTGGGACATCCGGCATAGAGTTCGACGAATTATTGGTATAGAATGGTGGGATATCCGGCAGTGAGTTCGTAGGGTTATCGTTATCAAATGGTTGGTGTTCCAACACCTTCCCCCATAAAAGATTGAATTCGTTAGAATTCAATTTAAAATTTACCTTATTTATACAATTTAATAGTTTGGTTGAGTATTAATTATATGTCACATTTATCTTTAAACTTGCAAACTACTAGTACAAACGTATATATAGATATGGATATACATATATGATATTTTGATTATATCGCAATAATAATTTGATTAACATAAGAGTTTTCTAATAACTATTTAAGAGTCTGAATTATGATTTTAATTATTAAAACTTAACTATTAAGTTTATGCTAAACATTTTTACATTGGCGTGGTACTTTTGCGTAGGTTTCTTCTGTAATAGTTTTTGGCTGTAGGACTGCATATGGGTGGTGGTGTTCGGCTTCTCTCACTGTCTTCGGTTGAGCTGATACTGCCAATTCCAGCAGCCCGTCTTCTATTGCTATACGTGACGACGTCCCTTGATGTTTCTCGGTAGTCGCTACGGGTGTTTGAATCGAAGTTACAATTAATAATATTTTTTATCATAGGTGGTACACTTTCCCCGTTGTTTGGGTTTTTCGTAAAACAGAAAAATCTTTGTAGTAATCTTAGGCAGCCACACCAACGACAACATTTTATACAAATTACAGTTATTAGAATAGCAGCTATTATTCCTATGGCGATTGTGTACCATCGAGTGTGAGTAACAATAAATGGTTCGTTTAGATTATGAGTTAGAATTTGATCAAGCTCATTTAGTTTTTTGTTCGCATATTTAAAATCGGATAAGTCTATATTTGTAAGTTTTACTGATTCCAAATGTGCCGCATCAATTTTAACTTTGTCTATATTTACAACACAGCAATCACTGTCCACTATACTAATTGGAGGTGCGTAATGGGTGATGTTCCTCTTGGTCTGCTTTGTTGGTTCCAAGAGGTAGATATTGCTGTACCCTTTGCATTGACTTTCTAGATACAGTATACCTGTCTGGTGTAGAACTATGTCCTCCATATGGTCTTTGTCTTCACGGCAAAGAATAGCTACAGTGATTGGTTTTTGCAAAACGTAAATCCAATGGTTATTTTGGATGTACGTCCATGTCTCGATGCTGACTCTGATGGTCTTCGTATCACAATCTTCCGGTATTTTATCTATGTGAGGTGACAACAGCTGGGCTTTACAAGTGGATTGCTCGGCTGATTTCCTCGTGTGGATGTCCATGCGGACGTATTTCCCATTCAGATACATAATGCAACTTTTTAAATCTTGTAGAAGGGAAAAATGAGTCTTGGGTTGGGAAATGATTAGATAGGGTTGTTTGGGAGAGATATCCGAAAAGAAGAAGGTATTTTGAAATTGAACGGGAAGTGGAATTAAATGATAAAGATCGAATGTCGTTCTTGTTACCAGTGGATATTTTAAGGCGAATATAATAAGGTCGTTCGACGGAATCAATTGTAAATCTAACATATTATAAAATATCGGCAATGTCTCGAGGGTAGGGGATACTACTAATTCATATTCTCATTTGTAGGAGGTCAACTCCTTCAGCAGAATTTCAGGCGTTACGATTAATGGTGATAAAATGTTGTGTCTTCCAAGATTTATTGCTTCTATATATTTATTATATTCCTGCGAAATAGTATTACTTAGAGACAATAACGTTGCGATCTGTTGTCCTAGTAAAGCTTGACCTTCCAATTGTGTTATATACATATAATCTTGTTTGAGTCATGAATTTGTTGATTCTATTTATGTTAGTGTTCAAAATATCTTCATTAGCTTTTAGTGAAGTTAATGATTGATTAAAATTTCGTATCGTACCAGAAATAATCTGAATTTGAGATTTTAATAAAGTTTGCGTCTGCTTATTATTATTTACTAACATATTAATACTATCCGTATAATATTGTGCATCATCTGCATCAGGAGTACCAAAAAGCCAATTGAGAGCATAAGATACGCCATTCATTAAGCCTCAACGTTTACGTTTATTACTTTCTTGACCTGCCAATTGATACAATATTTCGTGTTTGGAATCTATGTTCTTTAGTTCATCTCTTATAACGTTTAAGGTTTGTTCGCAATGATAGTTTACATGATTATAATTTGCCGCGTTCAAAAATCTAGCTGTGCAAAAATTTTGAGACTTTAGGTATGTGTTTTGTAATATTAGTCGAGCTTCCTTGAGATAGGTAATATTTATGTGCGTTAATAACGTTAATTTAGTATTTGAAATTTGTGCGATTCCTAATTTATTATAAAATATTCCACTTGAATGGGTAAACGGAGTGTTAGAGAAATAACGGCTGGTTGCTAGGATTGGAAGTGTGAGGAGCATCCAGAGGGTCTGATTCATCTGAAAAATAGTGTTTTAGAAGGTTAGTATAGAAGGTAGTGTTTAGAAGGTAGTGTTTGTTTCTTTTTACCGATTTGAATTTCTACTGTTTTATTAGGGAAAATTTTCGTTATTTTATACGGACCCTTAAAATTAGGGGCTAACTTTTTACTTTGACCCGGTTTAGTTTGATGTTGATATATGTACACAAGATCGTTCTGTTTGAATACAACAGGATTATTTTTCTTGTCATAGTATTCTTTCCTTTTTGTATTGGAGTCTAAAGTCTTATCACGAGCTATTTTAAATGAAGTGTTCAATTTATGTTGTAATGAGCGAATATAGTCATCATATGTATAATGGAATTGAGGTTCTTGAATGATGGATGAGGGTAAATAGGGTTTGTTACCGAATAAAAGTTCATAAGGAGTAAAATTAGTAGATTTATGAATTGACGTGTTATAGCTAAATATCGCGAACTGTATATATTCGTCCCAATCTGTTTGATTCGGCTTAATATAATGTTTCAGGCAATCTTTTAATGTGCACTTTCAAGTGCATCGTTTGTCTGGGGGTGGTAAGGTGTAGTGGATATATGTTTAGTTTTAAAAAGATTACTTAAGTTTTTTATTAAACCTGCCATAAAATCGGATCCCTGATCTGATAGGAATGATTTAGGTATACCATAATGCATAAATATCTTAGTTAGGATTTTTGCTGCGGTTTCGGCCTCATGGTTAGGAATAGGTTCTACAATACAAAATTTTGTTAAATCATCCTGAGCTGTTAAAATGAATCTATTTCCTTGTTCCGTTAAAGGTAATGGTCCTACAATATCAATGGCTAATCTATCAAATGGTTTTTCTGCGGTTGTGGTAATTTCCATTGGTTGTTTTGTTGGCTTAAAATTTGTTTTGTTTAACTGACACGACTGACATTGTTTAATATATTTTCTTACGTCTGCTTTCATTCCTGGCCAACAATATGCTTCTTTGATTCTAGAATACGTTCTCTGAAACCCACTATGTCCTGATAATTTACCGTCATGATTCTCCTCTAGTATCTTTTCTATTTCTTGACGATTTCTAGGAATAATTTTAGATTTATTAAGAATTTTAATTTCGGTTTCTGTAAAAATGAACCTCAATATATAGAAGGGATGTTTTAATATTAGAATGTTTTTCCGGAAGTACAAAAATGAATTTAGTGTCTTGTATGGTTGCTTTTAGATTTATTAAGGATGAAAACATGTTCTTATATTCAAGTTTGTCAAAGTGTAAATTCATCGCGAAAAGTAAGTATACTGTTTGAGTTTTATTTTCAAGTTTATATAACCCATCAATACTAGGTTTTATTCCGGATACATCAAAGTTTGAAAGGATATAATCGGAGTACTGGTTGCTTTCATCTAAATCCTGCGACCATAATAATATTATAGGATCTTTGATATTAGCTAATGATTTAGTTCCATTTTCATACGTTATTAGCTCCTGATTCTCATAATGGAATTTAATAAAATCTTGATAAGTAGCTTGATTTTGAGTACTAATATTTACTGATTTTTCTTCTAAGGGAAGACGCGAAAGTCCGTCTGCATTAGAATTTACACGACCTGACTTGTACTTGATTTCATATTGGTATTCGTTTAGGCGTAATCGCCATCTAACTAATTTAGATGTCGGATTTTTGCAATTAAATAACCATTGTAATGGTCTATGGCCCGTGTATATCGTAAACGTACGTCCGTATAGGTAAGGTCGAAAATGTTCTATTGAATTTACAATTGCCAATAGTTCTCTTTCAGTAATTGAATAATTCTGTTCTGCTTTATTTAGTGTTCGTGAATAGTATGCAATTAGTAAATCTTTGTCGTCCGTTATTTGTGAAAGTACTGCCCCAATTCCCACATTAGATGCGTCGCAAGTTAAAATAAAAGTTTTCGAGAAATCGGAATACTGATGCAAAGGTTTTTATACTAATTTCTGTTTCAACATATTAAACGCTTCTTCTTGTTCACGAAACCATACAAAAGTTTGATCCTTTTTTAATAGCATTGTCAGAGGTTTCGTGATAGTAGAAAAATTTGGAATGAATTTACGGTAGTAACCAACCATGCCCAAGAACATTTTTATATGCTTTACATTCGATGGACGCGACATATCATTAATTGCTTCAACCTTATTTTTGTTGGGTTCTACGCCCTTTTCCGAAACTACATGACCTAAAAATTCACAAGGCTTTTTTAGAAATTCGCATTTATTTGGCTGCAACTTGAGATTGTTTTCACGAAGTCTGGAAAAGATATTTTTTAATTTTCTATTATGATCTTTTAAATTTGAACCGTATATGATCATGTCGTCTATATACACTAAGCATTGACGATTATTTAATTCGGACAAAACACTGTTCATCATACGTTGGAACCGGGCCGGAGCATTTTTGAGCCCGAAAGGCATACGTGTGAATTCAAAATGTCCGCTCGAAGTACTAAACGCGGTTTTCGGTGCATCACACGAATTCATAGGGATTTGATGATAGCCGTTCGCGAGATCTAATATGGTGAAGTATATCGCATGTCCTAGTTGGTCCAAAATATCCTCGATATTCGGAAGAGGATACGCGTCACCAATAGTCTTCTCATTCAGCTTTCTATAATCAATCACTATTCGCCATTTGCGTTCACCGGACGCGTCAAGTTTTTTTGGAACTATCCAGAGAGGACTCGACCACGGGCTTGTTAACGGTTTGATTATTCCCTGTTTTAACATTGTCTCTATTTGCTTATCGATTTCCTTTTTATGTATTTCGGGATATCTATAATTCTTAACGTGTACGGGTTGCTCATCTATCGTTTTAATTTCATGTGTACATACTGTGGTTTTCGTTAGTGCGTCAGTCGGTAGATGAAAAATATCGTTAAATTCGGTGCTGATAGATTTTATCGGTGATTGTTCTTCGGAATTTAAGTGATTCAGACGTAAGTGTTCGTTTAAGACTCGTAATCTGTTATCTAACTGATTGCTACTTTGATTTGGAGCTAACTGATAAATTCTTCCTTCTCGCGGTACGGGTTCTAATGATAATTCTGGAATAGGGATTCGTTTACTCAGATGCGACGTATTTACTATGCTAATTAATGACTGATTTCCACCGATTACTTTGACAATTGCATTAGGAATGAGTATATTGCGATCTGTATTTAACTCTTGAGACGAAACTATCCCTTCGCTTAAATTATACGGATTTTGGACTTGTTTAGTACGATTTCGCGGAAGAGGATACCGTTATGTAATGCGGATTCCACCACCGGAAGATGCGCACTTCCTTACAACCTTTTACCGTTGTAAGGAGAATAAATTGTTTGAACACTGAATTATAGATATGTTTAATTCGTAGATGTTGTACAAATGTCTTTGGTGTTTGTGTGAAAGATAGTACCTCAGAGGTATGTCACTGTGAAGCTATGTCGGAGCGTATCGATAAGATCGTCAAAGATGACTTTAAGAATGCTGACGAAGTGATCAGATCTGAGGATTAACAGTAAGTGACTTCGAGTCTCGGTGTCTCGTTCTAAGTTTTGTATTCTCCCTCTCTTGGATCTTACAAACGGCCAGCAAGGTGCCGCAGAGAGGTAGTCCAATGAGGGAGGTGTTGACGAAAAGTGGCCAATTAGCAAACGTTTGGAGTTTGACTAATGGCCATAGGCTGAACGGTTTAGCAAATCACCTCGCTGGACATTTCCCATGTAAGCTAGTCGAAAACCCAGCAGCTGCGGTGCATGTGGAAGTCTTAAGGTGCGTGTTTGCACAAAACCGGCGATAACTCCCAGGCAAGGGCGACTGTGGGCCCAGACGGTCTTGGTGACCGGTGCTACCTGAGTATGCGGCTTAGATGGTTCGGGAGTTTTACAACCCGAACCGGCAGTGACCCAGGTGCAAACGATAGAGTGGTGCCTGGGACAGAGCGCAAGACGGTTCGAACCCTGTCGGGGTTGGTAGAACTCACAAGACATATACACGGCATGGGGTCCGTTTAAGACACGGAAGAAGAAGTTAGAATTTAAGTAAAGTGAATGGCAAGACCTCGTAAAAGATTGTAAACTGCTCGTCGTGAGCATTTGTGGACAATGCGATTGCCAAATAAACGTTCTGACTTTACGGACCTTATCCTGTAGAAGGTATGTTTACTGTTGGACCTTTTGAAGCTTCATGGTGATTGATTCGGTACGTGACAAAACGTCCGACCAGCTTAGAAAGGTTTCTAACAATTAGACAATGTGCTATTGAACATGACTGACCGTGCTTCTAAATTGATGTAGTAAATTCATCGGTTCGTGAATTTACCGTTGTTACCATTTTTACCAGGTACATAGAAGGCAAAACGGACGATGTCTTACGGTGAGTTTATTGCTCTCGATAGTTAAACCTGTAATATTGTTAAAAGTATAAGACTGCTATTATAGATCCGCGAGCGGTATACTATACCGCGCAACAGGACTTTAATAAAAATAATTGTTTCACTTCTTGGATTTAAGGTTATTTCGGATGCGGATGCTTGAGGTAAATTGTAACCTAACGGGATTGGAAATGGAATGTTTTTAATAGAGATTGTCGACTGCTTATAATCAATTTTGCAGTCTAATGAACGAAGGAAATCGTTGCCTATCAGTCCATCAAAAGGGATATTTGTGAGAGAATCTATTACATGAAATTGTGTGTCTATTTTGTTGTTACGAATTTTCAACTCAACTTTTGTTTGCCCTAAACTTATTACTGGAGAATTAAGAGAAATGCCATTTAATGATACTGGAACTGGATCAGTGACGTCATAATTGTTTAAGCTAGAAGCTTTTATTAATGAAATAGAAGCGCCAGAATCAACTAGGAGTTTCAAGATTTTGTCCTCAGAATTTGCCTGTTTTGACTCGAACAATACGTAATTAAGCTCATTGGTATCGGATGAAATGAAAATTGTTATATTAGGAATTTCTCGAAATCTTGGCTGACGTGATTGATGGAATTCATTGTTGATTGCGGATTCTGCTCGTTTGTGATCGGAGGATTGGGTTGTTGTCGGGGATCGCGAAAATTTTGCTGCTCAAAATGTACGTTTCGTCTTTCGAACGGTAAGGTACTCGTTGAAGGTCGATTCTGCATTGCTCGTTGGGAATTATTATATTCTCGTTTCCGACATTCGTTTATTACATGACCGAATCTTTTACAGTAATTGCATTGTACGTTCGACTTAGGAGTGTTATTCATTCTTTGAATTGGAGCACGATTTGGAACAGGATTTTGACGATACGGAGTAATTCGACTAGTATTCTGAAAATGGTTATAATTTGAAGTAAACGCGAACTGTGGTTATTCCTATAATATTCTTAAGCGGAATGACCGTTCTTATTACAGGTTCTACAAACTTGTGTGGTGTACGTTAAGCGTAATGCTTTTTCTTCGCACACAGCGGCCGTGAAAGCTTGACTAATTGTTTTAAATTCGTGACATCTCAACATTTGCGATATCTGCGGATGCGAGTGATACACAAATCTATTTAAGGTAATATCATTGATCATAGCTAATCTACCCGCGAGTGTATCAACCATTCAGTTGATCAGTTGAGTGAAGGATTCCTAAAATTCTTGAAGTTAGTTCTAAACGTTGATAAAATTGACTAATATTTTTGTGGCGTTCCTGTTTCATGCTATTCAATTCTTCTAATAACTGATCAAGGCTCTTCTTGTTCTGATACATATTTATTAATAATTCAGATATTTCTGTCCATGTCGTTAGATTACAGTGAACTTCTATTTGTTCTCTTGCCTTTCCTGTGATTCTGCTTTTCATGAAAAACAAGAGTGGTTGAAATTGAGAAGGTTTGGCTAATTCGAAAGCTGAATCGACTTGCTTTATAAAACTTCGTAATTTATATCTATCACCATCAAACGTGTCCGATATTAATTTGATTAAGAATTCTAGTGAAAGACTTGGAGACTGCCCTGCGGAATGTACCGTCGTTTCTGTTTCAACCATTTTGATATATTTATATATGTCTACATTTCACAAGAACGATATTAACCGATGGATTATGGTCAGGAATCAAGATTTATTGCAAGTCTGGATGGTACTTACGTTGTTTTCTTCCACTGCTGTCTACCCTCGGTGCTGGTTCGTCAGATCCAGTATTTCGTTACCGGGATGTAGCTTCTTCTTCGCGAAATTACTTTTGATGTGTCCAATTTTCCAATTGAAATTGGCAGTTACACACAGTGCGGAATATTGCTCCGTATTAACAGCTGTAATGTAACTGTTGGACACTATCCCACTTCTGACACCAAAAATTTATGTTGGGATCCGGGTGAAGAACGATCGCTTTTAAAGTATAAAAGTTTATTCGAATTGTTCTCTATGACACGCCGAACTCAACTAACGCAATTTACATGAATAAGAAATACGCAATGGAACAACACAAGTACTTCGCTTGGTGGTTGAATCTTTAATTCTGAGGTCTGACTTATTGTCAAGATATATATATACATATATATGGCTTCTTCGCTTAGTGGGGGAGGATGACTCTAGCTCTTGATGCTTGAGAACGGAGCCAAGACTATCGCTGATGAGTCGGAGATCGCGGAATTGGATGGTGGGACATCCGGCATAGAGTTCAACGAATTATTGGTATTGGATGGTGGTATATCCAGCAGTGAGTTCGACGAATTATTGGTATAGAATGGTAGGATATCCGGCAGTGAGTTCGTAGGGTTATCGTTATCAAATGGTTGGTCTTCCAACACTTTCCAATGTGGCCTAATCGTTGATGCCATAAATCATAATTATTTTTTTCAGTATTATTTACTTTAACTATGGAATTTACTTCATTTGAATTAACTATGAATTCTATTCTGATTAAATTATTTAGTGGCTTACCTGTTATGATGACTTTACCACTTTTACCTATTTCAACGCCTTTTGTGTCGAAAGTAATCGTCATTCCGGCCTGCTATATCCTTCGAACTGACAACAGATTGTAAGGTATATCCGGACAATAATAGATGTCTTCTATTGGTGGTGATATTCATTTTGCCCTTCTTCGTTGCTGTTATAAAAGCTCCATTTTTCGCTACGAAAATTTTTAGTGGTATTTCCAATGTATCGAAATTTGCTGCCAAATTTTCTCTATTGATCAGGTGACCCGATGCCCCAGAATCAAGAAGAAATACAATTTTGCTTCGATCGTCGACTTCTTGATAATCTCCGGTCATAAACGCAAAACTGAACACAGTTTCTTTTGATGTTGATGGCTGGGTTGTCATTTGCACTGTCTGAGCAGTTTTACCTTTTTCAGCATTCTGACGCTGAAGTTCTCTTTTATAATAAAAACAGCCCTTCCACAGTGGTGGCATTTTATGGCCGGTAATGACCTATTTGCTTTGAAAGACCGGGCCTCATATTGTCCTTGACCATACCTTTTGAATGGCTTTGGAATTTCAAATCTGTGTTTTCTTGAAATATTACCTCTGCTTACTTGAAGCACTTTAATATTGGTGTCACGGCACTCATTGTTTAATTTTACTTCGTGATCAAGAAGTCTCGTTTTGACGAACGCCAATGTTAAATTATCCTCTGTTAATGTCTCAATTGCAGTTATTATTCCGTCATACGAAGTCGGTAAAGTTAACAATAAATGGGACACTTTGTCTGTTTTTTCCAATTTAGCTCCTGTTGCCAAGAGTTCCGAAATTAAATCGTCAAATACAATAAAATGTCGTATCAATGATGTTTCACTTTGTAATTTTAAACTTCATAGTTTTTTTCTTAATGCTAATTGTGTGGCCAAGCTTTTTCGCTCATAAATAGCGTCCAAATCTTGTAGCACTTGTTTGGCACTTTTGTCTGATTGTGCAAAACTAAGGAAAGAGTCGGACAAATAATCTACAATAACGTTTTTTGCAACTCTCTCAGCCTTAATCCACTCACTAGTTAATTTATCCGGAATATCGTCGTCAATAACTTTAATCGCATTTAATTCAGTTAATAACGCACGGACTCTAAATTTCCATATGCTATATGTTGAGAATAGTTTTTCATTATAGTTGGTAACGCTTTCTATTTGGGTCCTATTATAGTGTGATAGAGGGTGTTGCACTTTACCCCCCGTTTTTTGTTTACCATAAGTTACTAGATTAAAATAAAACCGTTACTTTTTTATTGCGTCGCAAATGAAACGAACAAGAAACAGCAAGCGTTCTTTTTGTATCTCCTTTTATAATAAACATCATCACTATACTTTTCACCATCAAATGGTTTAATGTTTCTTTTTACACTTAAATTTTCCATTGTCTTTTATACTAATTAAAAACTACACTATAATTGTTAGATAACACTAGGATTACACTAAAGCTTACACACAATTATTATTACTATAGAATAGTTATAGTTTTATTATAATCTTCTTTTTGTATTATTTTATTCCGCACTATACACAGTGAGCACACAACTAAACTGGGCCCATAACCTATTGGAAATAGATGGCGAAATAAAATAAATTTACACAATAAATTAGTACTTTACTGATTGAATTTATTTAAGCCACATAAAAAGGCACGTCTTTATTCAACGAAGAGAACTATAAGAATGAATATCGAGAACGAAAATTCGTCACGCATTCGTAGACTTTCTTGGTCCTATCTCACTTATTGTTAGTCTAAAGTTTAGACTCTAAACAGTAACTGATGTGAGTATAAACAACACAGCTGCATCCTCTCGACTCGAAACATGAGAGTCAAATATATACAAGAATATTTCAATGTTAATTTGTGTTAATAAATTGTAAAGTCACGAGTTCTCTCTCTCACTGAGTCCTCGGCGTACTTTATGTATTTTTATGTGAGTTATTAGTTAGATAGTAATTCTCACTTACCTTTCGCTTGGCGAGTAGAACCTATCTGTGAATAGAACCTGTTGTGGTGAGTCGTCCAGGTATTGGAACGGTAGGGTAGATGGTTGAGTGAAGATCACGCACTTCCGATCACAAGATATGTTTATTCAATTGAAGTTGAAGCCCCTTAAGGGGGTAGACACGGGTAATGCAGCGAGGTGACATTACCGGCAAAAATGGGCCTATTAATGGGTTTACGGGAATCGGTTATTTGTCCTTATATGAGAACACTTAGGGCTGAGTGAGGGCTCATTCGAAAGAGGAAGGTCCAATGCAGGGGGCTCAACCGATGGTTTAACGAGATTGTGTTAATATCTAATAATATGAGTGTCCAAAGTAGAGGAAAAGTCGAGAAAATACGCCCGTTGAATCCAAGTACATTTTAGGTAACTATAGGAGTTTTGTGACTAACCTTCCTTTCTTTCGAATGAGCCCTCACTCAGCCCTAAGTGTTCTCATATAAGGACGAATAACCGATTCCCGTAAAAGCATTCCCAAAGACGAGTTCCGCCATTATCTGGATACTACAGAGCAAGTCACGTGACAAATTTAGTTCAGCTAGTGGTTAGGAGATGGCGCCTACTCAGGAGGACTTGTGGGGACTTCGGTTCGTCGATAAGGAAGAGAGGAGCGGTAATTAAGCTGTTCCCACTGATTGCACAAAAATACTTGATTCTTTATTGCACAATATTTAAACGAGAGTATCACGTCTCACTTCTTTGTCGTTTCTTTTTCGAATGGGAATTCACCCTCGCCATTTAGCGCGTTTTCTACCAACTAGGCTTACCAACTAAAAGTCTATGTACAATATCAATCATAGTGTCCGTTCGTCTAGTGAAAAAGCACTAAAGGGGAAGGTGCCCCTACCACCGGGTCACGCGCGAGCGCGCAGCCATTATGTCTCGTTCGCATGAGAAATACCTTTGTATTTCAGGAGAAAAGACATTTTTTCAAATAAATGCTTAATCGGAGGAGTGAGGCGGTTCATTCTTCAACGAGTAAAATAGATAACCAGCACAATTAAAAACTCGCTTGTCGAAATAATTAATTGCGTCGAGCCTCGGACGGCGAAGGTGGCTCCTTCCGCCCTATAGGATGGTGCACGAAACTGTGAACGCAGACCGTGATTCCATACCGAACCGGAAGCTGCATAAGAGCCTCTCTCTCGCACTGTAACTTCTGTCCTTGTTTAGCCCCATTTCACTCCGACTCCAGGCTCGTCGAATGCCATCCTTGTCGTTTCGCTTACGTCGAGATAGCGCGAAACTGCCCCTCGTTTGAATGCCTCGATTACTTCTTAGCCACTTAAAAATTGTTTAAACTATTACAAAAAGTTGTAAACGAAAAACTTTAAACACTTGAAAATGAAAATAGAAAATGGTCTGTTGTTTAAGACACTGCAACGTGTTACGAAATATAACGGTACGGTCTGTTTTTGGGACAATTATTGTTGTTGTTAATTCCATTTATCGTTTTCTTTAATTAAAAGCTCATATTTATTAACCCGATCAAATATTATTATAAACAATTACTTTTTACATTATATTCTTTTAACATTTGTATCTAAAATAGTCATTCACGTTAATTAAGATTGATTACTATTGAATACAAATGATTTTCAAAATTATCTGTTACCTACAAGTAGAGAAAGTGGAGAGGAACGAAGGGAACTGGGTATGAAAAATTGAAGATTTTTATTATAGAGCTGCATCCACGTTCAAGAGTTTGATGGCTCTGAAAAGAGCCGTTTGTTTGCTAATTTCATGACTCGCGAATTAGCAATATTTCGCGAGGGAGAATTACGCGAGTAAACGAGCGACGAGCATTCATAATAACCTGTTGCTCAGGCCTACGCTACGATTTCATTCACTTTTATCAGATCGGTGTAACAACAAATTATTCGGCGGTGATGGGAAACATTTTTCATCTGTCACGAATGATTTACATACACTCCTTTCCTTTTTCGTTTTTTGCTTGTGTATCTAATAAAAGAGTTCCTACGTTTGATAAAAAATTAATAACTTCCAAAACACAATTAGTATGCAATCGAAGGACTGGAACCTAGAAGAACAGTGTCAAACAAACAAAACATGATACCGCAAGCAAAATCGTTCGAGATGTTTGGTGTTTGCACATGTCGCTCGTTCGATGACCAGTAAATGTGTAACTGCGTAGCATAAAAAAAATAAAACGCAGATAATGCGCGAGTGCCATTGACTCGCGAAAATTCTCTGTTTCCATCCCTGATCGACTGACGCAAGTTGTGGAGAATAAAGGGTATTGGACCAAATATTAGATATAGAGATCGTTCAGACTCGGCGGGAGTATAACTGGCAAGGGGAAGAATTCCCTTTGCCAATTATACTCCCACCAAATCTGAACGATCCTTATCGATCACATTAAAAGTTCGACAGGTCACCGAGCACGATTTCATGTGGATACATGCGGGGCAGTGACCTCAGAAATGGTAAGACGGCTATAAATTCTTGTAATTCGCACTCTTAATTTTTGTTACGTTTTGTGCCTAATAAATTCTGTTTCTGTCTGTTTCAGTAATGACGATATTATTTTGATGGGCAAAGTACGCTCGGTGTAGTGCTCCACAGAGATCCACCCCGCGTCCTTGTAACGAATCCGTGACACAAAATCACCAAACTGGATTTCCAGTCACGAGAGAGTCACGAAACTAGCAAAGATACGGCTATTTTCAGAGCCATCAAACTCTTGAACGTGGATGCAGCTCTATAATAAAAATCTTCAATTTTTCATACCCAGTTCCCTTCGTTCCTCTCCACTTTCTCTACTTGTAGGTAACAGATAATTTTGAAAATCATTTGTATTCAATAGTAATCAATCTTAATTAACGTGAATGACTATTTTAGATACAAATGTTAAAAGAATATAATGTAAAGAGTAATTGTTTATAATAATATTTAATCGGGTTAATAAATATGAGCTTTTAATTAAAGAAAACGATAAATGGAATTAACAACAACAATAATTGTCCCAAAAACAGACCGTACCGTTATATTTCGTAACACGTTGCAGTGTCTTAAACAACAGACCATTTTCTATTTTCATTTTCAAGTGTTTAAAGTTTTTCGTTTACAACTTTTTGTAATAGTTTAAACAATTTTTAAGTGGCTAAGAAGTAATCGAGGCATTCAAACGAGGGGCAGTTTCGCGCTATCTCGACGTAAGGGAAACGACAAGGATGGCATTCGACGAGCCTGGAGTCGGAGTGAAATGGGGCTAAACAAGGACAGAAGTTACAGTGCGAGAAAGAGGCTCTTATGCAGCTTCCGGTTCGGTATGGAATCACGGTCTGCGTTCGCAGTTTCGTG